CCAAAGTCGGGGGTCGTCTTATATGCTGAGTCGTCTTATACACCAGAAATAACGGTAGTTTCCGGCGTATAAGATGACTTTCTAGGCATGTGACTCAGTGCCGAAGACGCGGGTCGTCTTATACGCTGGGTCGCCTTATACACCGGAATATATGGTATTTGGTGAGATCCATTAGGCATGTGCAATCACAGAGTTGTCATATTGTTGTTGCTGTTGTTAGTTGCGAAGTCGTGTCTGACCTATCACGACCCCATGGACAACATTCCTCCAGGCCTTCCTGTCCTCTACCATCTTCTGGAGTCCATTGAAGCTCACGCCTACTGCTTCAGGGACTCCATCCAGCCCCCTCATTCTCTGTCGTCCCCCTTCTATTGCCCTCGATCTTTCCCAGCATCAGGCTCTTCTCCAGTGAGTCCTTCCTTCTCATTAGGTGGCCAAAGTACTTGAGCTTCAACTTCAGGATCTGGCCTTCTAAAGAGCAATCAGGGTTGATCTCCTCTAGGACTGACCGGTTTGATCGCCTTGCAGTCCAGGGGACTCGCAGGAGTCTTCTCTGGCACCATAGTTCAAAGGCCTCAATTCATTGGTGATCAGCCTTTCTTATGGTCCAACTTTCACAGCCATACATTACAACTGGGAAAACCATGGCCTTGACTATACGTACTTTTGTTGGCAGGGTGCTGTCCTATAAGTTTCCATATTTCACATTTTAAAGCCTATAATTCAGTGTTTCTCAATTTTGGCACGCTGGCTGGGGGATTCTGGGAGTTGAAGTCCACCCATCTTCAAGTTGACAAGGTTGAGAAACTCCACTACCACCAGTCATCTTCCTTCTTTCTTCTACCTGGCTCTCCATCTTCTTGCTGCAAAGTGGAAGTGGAACAAACCCAGGAATCACTGATGGCACCTTTGATTACCACCCAGGCTAGGAAGCAGCTGTGGATTTACTCCCAACTGCAAATCAAAGCTGGAATGCACTTTGTGAGCTGTCGGGCTCTTAAGGCAAACTCTTAAATTGCGCAGTGCTCACAGCTGCTTGGGACACGGCCACAAGATCATAAAGCACCTGCTGGAGCCCACGGGCGCCTGATGGAGAAAGTCACCTACCACAGAGGCCCAGTTGAGACGGGGAGGGAAATCACATCTTTCTTTGTAAACATCCTGAAGGTTTTATTTGAAATCAGGACAGTGTTGAAAGCAGACCAGCTTCTCCCAGCTTCCGTTCTTGAAGTCAGCAGGAAGCCAAGGCCAGGTGCCCCAGGCTTGTAGCCCCAAGGGGCTGCACGCCACAACTTCTCCCCATTTCTATGGACTCTGATGAGGCTGGCTAGTTTGCGACAATGGCAAATATCTGTAGCTCGGTGGAGGATGAGGGTGGAGGTTCATTCTCTGAGCTTGTGGGCTGGTTTCTGAACGGTTTGTATACCAGGATCGGTAACATTTTCAGCAGAGTTTAGGGGCCATCAGTGTCAGTGTTCTTCTGCTTATAAGGGGGTTCCGGTGGTCAGTAGGTCTTGTGATGGGGGGGGGGTCACATCAGCTGAGGTCTTGTGAGATGCATCTTCTGATGGCTCTTCTGATGGGTCAGATGAGGGTCACATCAGGTGAGGGTCTTGGCTAGGCTAACCCAGCCCAAGCACTAACTTAGTGTTGAAGGAAAAGTCTTCATCATGGTTCAGTCCAAGCTGGGAATAAACAACATGGTGACTGCTTTAGAAAGAAGGTTGCAGTTTATTGAAGAGGAGAGCCAGACAGAAAATTGGCTCTGGAAGAAAAGAGAGTGAGCACATGTAGGGAGTGGGTCTTTATACCTTCTTGAGCCGTTTGTTTGGAGCTGTTCCTATGGCATGAACTTTGACCTGAGTCTGAGTGTGCCTTTCTGGTATTCTGATGGTGATGGGTTAATCCTATTATGTCCCAAAGGTCAATTCTGCTTCCCTGGGGCTGTGGATGATGACTCTTAGATTGTTGGTGTGAGGGATTGTTGATTCTAGGGATCTTTCCTCCTAATCCCAGTTTCCTGACTCCAGTCTTTCTGATAAGATTATCACATCTGCAATTCTGCAGACTTGGTTTCTGTTTGGGACAGAGAGACTTGGGGGTGTGGTTGGGTTCTGCTTTTAAAATCCTTTAGGGAAATATATTCTGCCTTTTAAATATTTCCAGAAATAATTCTTTCTCGGGGGGGGGGAGGCTGACTTCCCACACTAGCTTGGCTCAGCTATGCCTTGCAAGCTTCCTGGACTTTCTAGGGAAGAGGAACCACCAGGAGACTTTTTGTCCATGGCTCAACCAACAACCACAGGATGGGCCTCACAACAAGTTGAAGGATTCCTGGTGCTGTACAAAGCCCGCTCCCCTGGTTTGATCCAGTCAAACTGTATGGGCCTTTGTGCCATCTTGGGAGCATTGGTAGAAGAGGGCATAATGGGGTCACAGCCACCACAGGAGATGCTATGGACTCTGAGCGAGCACCATCACCAACATCTACTGTGATCCTGTCTGACCATAATCAAAGCAGTTGGTTCCTTTCTCCCTCAAATGTCTGGTTTCTCCTCTTGGGTGGATGAAGCTGTTGTGTCTTTCTCCCCAAATATTCACGGTAGCCCTGCCTACCAAAAGGAGTGGTGGAGGGAGGATGGCATTGATGTCCCAACCTATCTGAAGATCAAGAGATGCCTTCAAGATGCCCTCCTAAGCACTGTTTTCCAGTCTCTTCCAAGTGATCCAGCAACTTCTGCCAGCAACACAGCTGCAAGAGCCAGGAGACCAAGGGGACCTTGCTTCACACCTGCCAGTTCCACGAGGTCCTCCCTCCCTTGTGACCTCATTACTCAGCATTGACATCATTGCCTAGCAACCAGGAAGTAACAGCTACTCCAAGGAAGAAGTAGCAAGCGGGACGCAGGCTCAGGTGCAGCTCAGCCAGATATAGCAGTGGGCTGTCACAGGAATCAGGGTCCTTGAGGTGGGTTTGGGGGAGCCCTGGGGAAGAGGCTGCTGGAGGCCTCCTGCCCCTCAGGGAGGAGTTGCATTACTTCATCCATCCAGGTTTGGCCACCATATGGGTTATCTATAATGTTCACAAGCTACCTAACCAAGGTTGGAGTTCTGATTTGGGGGTGGGGCTAGAAAGGGGAGGGGCTGAAGGCAGGATCAGAAATGGGCCACGGTGGCCCTGAGAGGCACCATGGATGCTGGTTGGCTGATGCTGGCAACCCAAAATAAATAGAACTTCACAAATGAATAGGAACGTGAAGGACAGCAAAGGGAGGGGGCTCTGATGAGAGGAACCTCTAATGTGAGTTCCTACCCACTCCCATTCCAATGCTGGTGGCCACCATGGCCAATGTGTCTGTTTGAACTGGAGAAGAAGAAGGAAGAAAGAAGAAGAAGAAAAGAAAGAAGAAGGAAGGAAGGAAGAAGGAAGAAGAAAAGGAAGAAGGAAGGATTAAGAAAGAAGAAAAGAAAGATGGAAGAAGAAAGAAGGAAGAAGAAAAGGAAGAAGGAAGGAAGAAGAAGGAAGAAGATAGAAGAAAGAAGAAAAAGAAAGAAGGAAGGAAGAAGGAAGAAAACAAAGAAGAAGAAAGAAAAGAAAGAAGGAAGAAGAAAAGGAAGAAGGAAGGAAGAAGGAAGAAGGAAGGGAGGAGGAAGAAGAAAGAAAAGGAAGAAGGAAGGAAGAAGGAAGGATTAAGAAAGAAGAAAAGAAAGATGGAAAAAGGAAGAAGGAAGGATTAAGAAAGAAGAAAAGAAAGATGGAAGAAGAAAGAAGGAAGAAGAAAAGGAAGAAGGAAGGAAGAAGAAGGAAGAAGATAGAAGAAAGAAGAAAAAGAAAGAAGGAAGGAAGAAGGAAGAAAACAAAGAAGAAGAAAGAAAAGAAAGAAGGAAGAAGAAAAGGAAGAAGGAAGGAAGAAGGAAGAAGGAAGGGAGGAGGAAGAAGAAAGAAGAAAAGGAAGAAGGAAGGAAGAAGGAAGGATTAAGAAAGAAGAAAAGAAAGATGGAAAAAGGAAGAAGGAAGGATTAAGAAAGAAGAAAAGAAAGATGGAAGAAGAAAGAAGGAAGAAGAAAAGGAAGAAGGAAGGAAGAAGAAGGAAGAAGATAGAAGAAAGAAGAAAAAGAAAGAAGGAAGGAAGAAGGAAGAAAACAAAGAAGAAGAAAGAAAAGAAAGAAGGAAGAAGAAAAGGAAGAAGGAAGGAAGAAGGAAGAAGGAAGGGAGGAGGAAGAAGAAAGAAGAAAAGGAAGAAGGAAGGAAGAAGGAAGGATTAAGAAAGAAGAAAAGAAAGATGGAAAAAGGAAGAAGGAAGGATTAAGAAAGAAGAAAAGAAAGATGGAAGAAGAAAGAAGGAAGAAGAAAAGGAAGAAGGAAGGAAGAAGAAGGAAGAAGATAGAAGAAAGAAGAAAAAGAAAGAAGGAAGGAAGAAGGAAGAAAACAAAGAAGAAAGAAAAGAAAGAAGGAAGAAGAAAAGGAAGAAGGAAGGAAGAAGGAAGAAGGAAGGGAGGAGGAGGAGGAGGAGGAGGAGGAGGAGGAGGAGGAGGAGGAGGAAGCTGCTTGTGGAGAAGTTGGAAAATGGGTGTGTGGCTAAGTGGAGTTCACCCAGTTTTCACAGAAGGGTGGAAGGAGGTGCCCCAATGCTTCCCAAAAGGAGAGGAGCACAACGCAGCATCCCTTGGCCTGCCAGTCCTTGGTCTTCCTCTGAGGCCTCCCAGATGCTTCTGGGATGGGGCTGCCTGTGTGGTCCAGGCCTGAGAAAAATTCTCCTGCACTGCCCTCCACTGGTGCCACGCAAGAGGCGGTTCTTCTTTAGCTCCCTCTCTCCCTCTCCAGCCTCCGCATCTTTCGAAAACTGAATCAAAATCGTTTAGGTTTAGAGAGAGTTGAACATGCAAATCCCATGAAGTCCTCCGTGGCTGGGTGACAAGCCAAGAACTCACAATTAGCAGCTGACATCACAATGCTGTTGGGAAGATTAAGGAGACACATTGTTGGCTACGGAAACTGCTGCGAGGCTCCTGGTGTTAAGGAACGAAAACTGACAGGCTGCAGGTTTTTCAGCGTTAGGAGGAAAAATGATGGACGCCCTCCAAGTTGCCTCTTCCTTAATAGCTTCGACCTGCCTTTAATCTCCTGCTTTTTTCCAATTGTTTGCTCTTGGGATGATTATGTTTTACTCAGGTTTTTAATTACTGTCGTTTAGTAAGCCGGGTTATGTGTCTCCCGAAGGATGGGAATAAATCAGCCCCTCTAGCGGTTAGCAGAACTGGAGCCAAAACAGAAAAAACGAGGGAAGGATTCCCAAATAAAAGCATTTTTTACAAATGCTGTGCATAACACAGATATGCACACACAGCCAGAGAGTCCAGTGGAGGTGTGTGCAGGAGCCCTGCAGCACTGACTGTCAGTTGAAAATGACGAGGGAGGGAGGGAGGGAGGGAGGAAGGAAGGAAGGAAGGAAGGAAGGAAGGAAGGAAGGAAGGAAGGAAGGAAGGAAGGAAGGAAGGAAGGAAGGAAGGAAGGAAGGCCAGAGGAAATAAAAGCCCAAAGGATAAAATTTGGGATGGTAGCCTCCCAGATTGTGAGAGCTTCAACATTAGGGATTGTGGGGAAGGACTTATGGACCCTCCCCTTGAAGGAGCTACAGGAGCCTAACCTCCCAATGCAGGGGCAAGGGTGCAGGCCCTTATTGGGCTCCTGAGAACCAGACACAGCCCTTCCCCTTCCCCTTTCAGCCGCAGGTTCGTCCGGCTTCTTCTCTGCTCCTTCCCAGCCTTTCAGTCACCGAGGCCATGGACAGCAGAGGCTCTGGCTCCCCAAGTTTCCAAGGTAAGGACTCCCCCATGCGCTGGTACCCAGGAGGAAGGGTGGAGGGGTCCCTGGGAGCAGAAGGCAGGTGGTCTGGAGCCCAGGCACAACCACGCAGGAGGAGATAGCTTGGGCTCCTTCAGGGCACCTGCCTAGGGGTGATGGGTAAACTTGGGGGCTCAGCCTGACCTAGTCCTGGTGGAGAATAACGGGAAATAATACTAGAGGGGGCTCAACTAGCCCCTTGCAGGGTGGGCAGCCATTCAAGAGAGAGAGGAGATGTTTCTTCATCCAGAGTTTTTCTTCTGGACTCATGTTATCTGGTTCACGAGGGATCGGGCAGCATCTATGCTTGAATTAATTACAGGTGGTCCTCAACTTAACAACAGTTCATTTAGTGACTGTTCAAACGGCACTGAAAAAAAGGGACCGACGACCTGTTTTCACACTTAATGATCGTTGCAGCATTCCCAGGGTCACGTGATCACAATTCAGCCACTTGCCAACTGACTCGTATTTGCAACCATTGCTCTTTCCTGGGGTCACGCGATCCGCTTTTATGAACTTCTGGCGGGCAAAGTCAATGGGGAAGCCACGGTCACTTTGCCACCACGGTACTAACCTAACAGGCTGCAGCGATTCACTTAACAGCTGCAGTTGGAAAGGTCGTAAAATGGGGCAAAATTCACTTTACACCTGTCTCGCTTGACAACAGAAATGTTGGATTCAATTGTGCTCGTAAGTTGAGGATCACCTGTAATGAATCAATTAATCAGTCAAACGGGGAATCTCTTCTAAAGTCAATCTCCTTCAACAGGGTAGGTGGTCTGCTCTTGGGGAACTTCATCCCCAGCTCCCAACTCTTATCTCCCTCCTAGACCCTCAGAGCTGCCAGTCTTCCTCTCCCCACTTCTGTTTCCCCCACAGCAGAGCCTCGATCTTCCATGAGTGACAACCTAAACTATGGCGATGAGGAACTGGATGAGGAGACCATGTAAGTGTCTCCCCTCACATGAGTCGCTCTCGGCTGCCGCGGACTCTCTGAGAGGGGTGAAGGCAGGACCATCCCAGGCTCAGCTAAGGTGGGATGGGCTCTCCAAGGCCAGCCAGCTGTGGGTGGATCTCAAGGCCACTGCAAAGGTGGATTCCCCATGAGATGGCTTGGAGGCAACGTCACCATCATCTGCCCCATCTTCCTTGGGACAACAATCACTGTCAGCAAAGTTTTTCTTCCAGGTCTCATCCATGAAGATGCTCAATTATCCAAGTCATGATTGATCCAAGGATGCTTTTCCAAAAGGCAACTGCTCTTTTTTAGTTGTTGTTTTTTTTCTTGAAAATGTTTTGCTTCTCTTCAGAACTGAAGTAGCTTCTTGGATGAGAAGCAAAACATTTTCAAGAAGAAAACCGAAACGGTTGTCTTTGGAAAAGCACTTTGGGGTCTCCTGGGTCTTCCTTCAGTTATCCTCCTCCCAACCTTGTGTTGAAGGAAAAGTCTTCATCATGGTTCAGTCTAAGCCGGGATAAACAACTTGGCGACTGCTTTAGGAAGAAGGTAACAGTTTATTGAAGAGGAGAGCCAGAAAGAAAGATGGGTCTAGCAGAAAAAGGGCTGAGCACGTGTAGGGAGTGGGTTTTTATATCCTCTGGAGCCTTTTGTTTGGAGTTGTTTCCTGTTTCAGGCTTTGTATTTCCTGTCACGTATTCTGACCTGAGTCTGGGTGTGCCTTTCTGGTATTCTTGATGGTGGTGGATTAATCCTATTATGTCCCCCTGCTTCCCTGGGGCTGTGGCTGATGTTGATTCCAGAGAGCTTTCTTCCTAATCCTAGTTTCCTGACAAGATTATCACATCTGCATTCCTGCAGATTTGGTTTCTGCTTGGGACAGAGAGACTGGGGGCAGGGTTGGTTTCTGCTTCTAAAATCCTTTTGGGAAATATATTCCCTAAATATTAAATATTTTAATATTTTCTTCTCTGGGGGGGTTGACTTCCCACACTTATGAGGTTGCTTAGACTGAGCCAGAGTGACTGGGCCAAGCTCCCCTTGTGAGAGTCATGGCCAGCAGGGACCCCACCCCACCTGCCACAGAGGGCTGGCACTGCCCCGTGGGACTAGGCGTGCATCAGGGCAACTGGCTAGGTGGTTTCTCTTAGGTCAGTGGTTCTCAACCTGTGGGTTGGGACCCCATTTGGGGTCAAACAGTCATTTCATGGGGGTCGCCAAACAACGCAGTACGCCATTTTTCCCCCTTTTCCTTAGCTGTGCTACTCCCTTTTATTCTATTGGCTTTTGAAAGCCAATAGAATAGACTCTCTTGAATAGAGTCTAATTCTATTGGCTTTCAAAAGCCAATAGGAATTGTCCAGGCTGTCTCTGCCCTGCTGAGCCCGCCAAAAGTCCCATTCTGCAAACAGTGCTGCACCAGCTGAGTAGTCCTTGACTTACGACCGGTTGAGTAGTCCTTGACTTACAACCGGTTGGGGGTCACGGCATTAAAAAGGTTGAGAACCACTGTCTTAGGTGTTCCTTTAAGGAACCACGCCATCCTGCCTTTTTAGAGCATATCATATCTCTTTCTCCCACCTTAACCCCCTCCTGTAGTGCAGGTAGTATCTCATCTGGCTTCCCCAGCCTGGAATAAAAACAGATTCACCCAACTGTTCAAAGAATACAGAATCTTATTAAGCATAATTTTAGTGAAACGCTTTACATTCTGGGAAGAAACATTAGCAATCTTTCACGCGGAGTCTAAAGTCAGAGAGCCAGTTGGTGCAGGCAAGCTGAGAGGGGGCCAGAGGGGCTTCCCTGATCCAGCATTTTGGATCCTTCAGTGGCGAACCAGATGCATCCGGGAAGTTCACCAATCTGGACAGGAGGGCCCTCTCCTTCTCCTGCTCAGTACGGTCGCAATCGGAAGGACTGGCATAATTATGCTGCCTCCATGTGCCCCAGGGTAGGGGGTCTGCCCTGCAAGTGCTCAGAGCAGGCCCACTTTGTGTGAAGGGTCAGTGATGGGGACAGAAGGAGAGCTGCTGCCCAGTGGCTCTGGACCTTCCCTGGGCCTGCCTTCGGCGCTTGCAGGAGCTGCTATTGGGTTAGGACACCTGCTACAGAACCTTCTCCTGATGTTCCGTTTCCAGGAACTTCATTTCTGCCTTGTACACCGCCTTGGGACCCCTCTTGCCCGAAGTCACCAAGCTCCAGGGCCACCAGGATCCTCCGGCCCACCTGATGGTTGACATGAAGACCAAACTGAGGGAGCTGGGCTCCAGTGTCTCTGATGCCCGGAAGCGGCTGTTGAAGTACAACATTTACCTGGTGGGTGGTGGCCTTGGGTGCAGCCCTTCAGCTCCCCCACCTCAACTGAGAGCCACCCAGTGAAGGACAGGATGGCACAGGCCAGGCCAGAAGGCTGAGGGGGCTGCAAGAATATGGTTGGCAGGACCCAGTGACTGTGAGGAGATACTGGGACAAGGACGTTGCACCCCTAAGTCTCTCCCACTTTCCAATACGGGTAGTCCTTGACTTATGATACACAATTCAGCCCAAACTTTCTGTTGCTAAGTGAGACATTTGAAAAGTGAGTATTTTGCCCCATTTTACAACCTTTCGTAAAGTAAATCACTGGCAGTTGTTAACTTAGTCACGTGGTTGTTAAGTGAATCACTGCAGTTGACTAGTTAGTAACCCAGCTGTTAAGTAAATCAGGTTTCCCTGTTGACTTTGCTCTTCAGAAGGTCGCCAAAGGGGATCCCCATGACACACACAAACACACACACCCAAGGACACGCGACAGTCATAAATACGAGCCAGTTGCCAAGCCTCTGGATTTTGATCATGTGACCGTGGGGACTCCACGGTTGTGTGATAAAAAGGTTGTAAGTCATTTTTTTTCAGTGCTGAAAACATTGTAAGTCAAGGACTATCTGTAGTTGCTTCTCCATTACTGCCACTGGCCCAGCTTGGTTGTGAAAGGGGAGCAGGGGTCTCTTTAGTCAAGAGGGCACCCCACCACCACCACCACCAAGGCTGCTAAGCCCCTTTCATTTCCCTCCTTAGAAGAAGAAGCTGGCCAGAGCCATGCAGGAGAGGAAGGCCCTTCGGGAGCAACAGCTGAGGCAACAAGGAATTAATGAGCAGGTAGAAGCCCCTGGAGGTTGCCCCCCCTCCAGGGAAGAGACCAGATCCCCCCCTCCTGCAAGGGTGGACTCCTCTTGCCCGGTGGCCACCCCCTCATGTCCTCCTTCCTTCTCCAGCTCAGCACAGCGCACGTGCCAAGTGTACTCAGGGCCGAGGTGGCTGCGGGGAAGTCCAGGATGGGCACCGAGAAGAACATTCTGGTAAGTGGAGGAAGCTCAGGAGAGGATATCTTGGCCTCCTTCACCTCCCTAGGGAGAACTTCCATTTCATGTTGGTTTCTTTTCTTATTCCTCCTTGAGAGGCTCAGAGCGAAATGCCCTAAAGAGGGCCATAATTGTCAGGTGCAGGAACTCAGGAACCAAGGCTGTTCAGATGAGTACAACTTTATTCCATGCTAACTTTAGACAAGAATCTGGACTACTGAAGGTCAAGGCAAATTGGCAGTAGATAAGTGGAATTCAAGGAGGGCTGGACTTAGATCTCTTGTGGGGATGAAGGGATGCCAAACTGATGACGTGCTTGACCCCTCCCTCCCTTCCTCCTTCGGTCTCAGCCTGGTCATCTACAACAATATTCCATTTGCTAAAAGAAGGGAGTTAGCTGCCATGCAGTTGGGGTCTGGATGGACAGCTGCCCTCCAAAGCAATAAGGGAGAAAGGAAACAAGAGAACCGGCATCTCAATCAATCAGAATAGAGCTGGAAGGGACCTTGGAGCATGAGACCCTATACCATTTCAGACAAGTGACTGTCCAATTTCTTCTTAAAAAGCTCCAGTGATGAAGCATCAACAACTTCTGAAGGCAAGCTGTTCCTCTGGTTAAATGTCCTCACTGTTAGGATGTATCTCCTTAATTCCAGGTTGCTTCTCTCCTTGGTTAATTTCTATCCGTTGTTTCTTGTTTTGCCTTCTTGTGCTTTGGAAAATAAGTGGACCCTCCTCCTCTTTGTGGCAGCCCCCCAAATACTGGAACTATGCTATCATGTCACCCCTTAGTCCTTCTTTTCTCTAGAACAGTCAAACTCAAATCCTGCCCAGGTGGCATTTAAATGGGGTGCATTGGGGGGGGTGGGCTCTTGCAGGCAGCAAGTGAGTGAGACTGTCCACCCTTTATGAACTGCAGCATCCCGGGACACAGGAATTCAAATTCCAGCATTCCTGAGACATGGCTGTTTAGCTGCCTCCTGAATGCATCCAATAGAGGAGAACATACACACACACACACACATACACAGAGAGAGCGACACACAGAGACATACACAAACCAGGTGATTGGTTCCTCTCTCCAGGGGCTCCAATTCTGGTAACATTCAGCTGGAGTCTGACTTCTGTCATTCTGCATGTTTTTATATCCTGCTCTCTCTGGAACAAGGCAAAAGCGGTCCTGACTTTATTCCGTGCAACGTCACTTTGAACAGGGTTATTGTCAGGCCTGCCCCAGTCTGATCCCTTAGGAAAGGAAAAGACCCTCAACGCCATTTGGTTGAAGTGGTCAGGTTCTTTTGCTAAAAGATGTTGATTGCAGCAAAGTCAGGTTAGAATTAAATTTCCCACGCTCAAAAGATACAGAAAGTTTCCCCGCACTCCAGCCCTCCCCCCATGACCGGTCCGTCTGCAGCCAATCAGAGTCTACCTAGGTCAGTGATGGTGAACCTTTCAGAGGCTGAGTACCCAAACTGCAACCCAAAACCCACTTATACGTCGGGTGCCAGGTGGGCGTGGCCCACTGGGTGGGCGTGGCTGTGGTTGTAACAGCAGACTGGGTGGGAATTAAAAAGTTCGATCAATCAATTCCAACTTGGCGAGATCTTTTTGTTTTCCGCAAGAAATTGAAATTGATTGACTGATTGAACTTTTTTTTTTTTTTTTGCATATGGCGGCTGAGGCCTATAAAACCCAGCTGAAGGCCTAGGACTGGAGCAACGGCACGTGTGCCCACAGAGAGGGCTCTGCGTGCCGCCTCTGGCACATGTGCCATAGGTTCGCTACCAAGGACCTAGGTGTTTTGAGAATGCTGAGATGTTTAGGGTAATCCACATTCTTTCTCAGGGTGCCTGGCCTTGGGTGCTGGCACAAACTGGTCCGAGCTCTCCTGCTCTTTGTCAAGCTGTCATTCCCCCGTCCCAATTCCCATCGAGTACACAAGCAGGTTGATTGCCTATTTGTTTCCTCTCCCCTTCTCCACCGTCCTCCCTCCTAGCCTTTCATGGTAGGATGCCAGCAAGGCGCCAAGCAAAAGATGGTAGACCTGATCGTTATCGTACCCCCTCTGTGGTCCTCAGCCCCTTCACTCAGCTTAGTTCCTATTCCTGATTTCCACTTCTGCCTTTAATATTAACAACAACAACAACAATAATAGTAATAATAATAATAAAGTTGGAAAGGACCTTGGAGGTCATCTAGTCCAACCCCCAGCTCAGGCAGGAAACCCTATACCATTTCGGACAAATGACTGTCCAGTCTCTTCTTAAAAACTTCTAGTGTTGGCGCATTCACCGCTTCTGGAGGCAGGTTGTTCCATTGGTTAATTGTTCTAACTGTCAGGAAGTTTCTCCTTAATTGTAGGTTGCTTCTCTCCTTGATTAGTTTCCATCTGTTGCTTCTTGTCCTGCCTTCAGGTGCTTTGGAAAATAGCTTGACTCCCTCTTCTTTGGGGCAGCCCCTGAGATATTGGAACACTGCTATCATGTCCCCCCTCGTCCTTCTATTCGTTAAACTAAACATACCCAATTTGAGCAACGTTCCTTATATGTTTTAGCCTCCAGTCCCGTAATCATCTTTGTTGTGTTCTCTGTACTCTTTCTAGAGTCTCAGCATCTTTTTTATATCGTGGTGACCAAAACTGGATGCAGTATTCCAAGTGTGGCCTTACCAAGGCCTTGTAAAGTGGTATTAACACTTCACGTGATCTTGATTCTATCCCTCTGTTAATGCAGCCCAGCACTGTGTTGGCTTTTTTGGCAGCTGCAGCACACAGCTGGCTCATATTTAAGTGATTGTCCATTAGGACTTCGAAATCCCTCTCACAGTTACTACTATTGAGCAAGGTACCCCCTATACTATACCTGTACATTTGGTTTTTCTTGCCTAAATTTACAACCTTACCTTTTTCATCACTAAATTTCATTTTGTTAGATAGCGCCCAGTGTTCAAGTCTGTCCAGGTCCTCCTGTATCTTAAGCCTGTCTTCCGGAGTGTTGGCTATTTCTGCCAGCTTGGTGTCATCCGCAAATTTGATGAGATGGCAGACCTGACAGTTATCGTACCCGTCTGTGGTCCTCAGCCCCTTTATGCAGCTTAGTTCCTATTACTGATTTCCACTTCTGCCTTTCTCTGAATCTGTTCTAATTTCCCTCCTCTCCTTTATGCCCAGAAAAAGACATGGAACTCAAAGTGGGGTCTGACCAAAGCAGAGATCAGCGGAGCAATTGCTTCCCACAGTTTAGATATTATATCTTTGTTGATGCAGCCTAAAACTGCATTTGCCTTCTTTGCAGCCACATCACTCTGCTTGCTCTTAATCAGCTTGGCAACCACCATTTATTATTCTGAGAACTTTTAAAAGCTACCCAGCCTGACAGTTCCATCCCAAACTATGTATTTCATTTCTGTGTCCTTAAGTGCCTAATTTGCATTTTGCTTTATATGATTTTCATTTCATTGCATTCAGCCCATTTCTCTATCAATGTGGCTTTGATTCTTTTTAAGTTAATTTCTCGTTTTCCAGAGCACTAGTTATCTCACTGGCAAATTAATATTCATTCTTTGCACTTCATCATTCAAACCGTAAAAAAAAAATACTGAAGTGAAGGGGCCAATCCCTGTGACACCCCCACTTGATGGGTCTCTCCAGTTTGATTGAGAACCCGTTAACGAACCATATATCCTCTCAGCAAGATTTTCGGGGCCAGCTGTGTTTTTATTTAGCTGTCATGTCATCCAGCCCACACTTACCTAGCTTTGAAAATCAGGAGCACTTTATCAAAAATTCTACTTAGGCCAAGATACATCATAAATCAGCATTCCAGGATGTATGAAGAAAGTTACCCAATCAAAAATAAGACAAGATAAGCCTGCAAACTTGTTCTGAGGGTTATCCAGCAGTTACCATATTGTCTTCAAAGGCCTCACCAAGTGACCTTTTTGTGATCTGCTCTCCAGCCTTCCCAGGAATTGAGGCCAGAAAATCTGTTCTGGATCTTTCTTTTTCCCATCTTTTAGAGAGAGGGGTGATATTTATCCAGAATTTCTAGAAGTTAATCAGTAATTGTTTGACTAGACTAGCAGTTAGTTCCTTTAGTACTATAGGTGCTCCATCACTGGAGGTTTTTAAGAAGAGATTGGACAGCCATTTGTCTGAAATGGTATAGGGTCCTCTACTTGAGCAGAAGGTTCAAAGAATAGAACTGGAAGGGACCTTGGAGGTCTTCTAGTCCAACCCCCTGCTCAAGCAGAAGACCTATACCAGTGATGGCAAACCTTTTAGAGACCAAGTGCCCAAATTGCAACCCAAAACCCACTTATATATTGTTGGGTGCCGGGTGGGTGTGGCCCATTGGGTGGGCGAGTCCCATTGGGTGGCAATGGTCCATTGGGTGGGTGTGACCCATTGTGTGGGCGTGGCCCATTGTGTGGGCATGGCTGCGGTGGTAACAGCAGACTAGGCGGGACTAAAAAGTTCAATCAATCAATTCCAATTTTGTGAGATCTTTTTTTTTCCTGCGAGAAGTTGAAATTGATTGATTGAACTTTTTTTTTTCACACAGTGGTGGAGGCCTAAAGCGAAAAGATTTTATAAAACCCAGCTGAAGGCCTAGGACTGGGGCGACAGCATGCGTGCCCACAGAGAGGGCTCTGCATGCCACCTGTGGCACGCGTGCCATAGGTTCACCACCACAGTCCTATACCATTTCAGACAAGTAGCTTTCTAGTCTTTTTTTAAAAACCTCCACTGTTGGAGCACCCACAACTTCTAAAGGCAACTTCTGTTCTACTGGTTAATTGTCCTCACTGTTGGGAAGTTCCTCCTTAATTCCAGGTTGCTTCTCTCCTTGATTAGTTTCCATCCATTGTTCCTTGTCTTGCATTCTCATGCTTTGGAGAATAGGTCGGACCCCGTCTTCTTTGTGGCAGCCCCTCAAATACTGGAAGACTGCTAGAACTAGAGTTGAACTAGAAGACCTCTAAGGTCCCTTCCAACT